TGATTTTTCAAGCCAGGGACTTGGCCATATTCTAAGATAATCAGAGCCAATCCAGATGGCCCCTGTCAGCCAATCTCAAGGCTTGTTTTGTTCATACACATTTGTCATGAGTGGGGAAAAATACTCCTAATATCTTTAGTAATTAGTAACAATAAAAAAAAAAATATATTGTTTTTCTATTTTCCCAGGACTGACATTTCCGATGATACTTTAACTGTATCCTTCTTAACAGAAAGTGGGGAAGGATTGGTGGTCTTGGTTTTGCTCAGTATTATTGAATTATGTCTAGTTGGGTTTGATTCTCCTTGGAAATGTTCTTGATTTCATTTTATTATTTTAAAACATAATTTTTAACGGATTTTAATTTTCTCTTAAACTTTTCAATCCACTTTCCTGAGAATTTCAACAATTATCATCCAGTTAGTAGTCTCTTTTCTCTTCCTTTTTCTAGTACTTTGAGTAACTTCCTGAGGCCCCAGTGCCACATGTGTGCTCACACAGTTGTATGTGTGTACACATAGAATGTCATATTTGTTTGTACTTTTCAATATTTTTTTCACTTTACACTCATTCTTTAAACTTTTCTCACATTTTCTCTTTCCTCTTTTCTTTCTGTTGTTATATATAATGTAATATTTTTGCATCTAAAACTTTTCAATATTTCTAAAAAAAACATTGGTGACAGCAGGCAATTCACAAATCTTATTGGACTATTCTGGTGATATAGAAGAAATAGAATTTTGTATTATTTGAAACTCTGTAAATAAAATTCCATAATGCATTTGTAATATCTGAAATTATTTTGGATCACTGACTAATTTAATGCAAAAATGAATAGTAATTTTTATAATATGTATATAAATAAAAAGAAAGAACAGCAAGATATATAATCCGGTGTTCTTATAGATATTTTTATTTTTACAAAATAGTGCTCAATGTAAATTTACAGAGCATTAATATTATAAATTAATTGAGCGAAAAAACCATATTTTAAATCAATTAATTTATAATATATAATAATTATAGCCTGATGAAGTAATTTTGAATGCTGAAATTTTACAATTTTGTCATTCCATTACCGATTATATTTCTAAAAGATTGAAAATTTAAACATGGCCTCATTTTTTTTTTTTTTTTTTTTTTGATAGTATAGGTAAACTAGTCTTATATTTCATATATATAACTTTAAAAATCAGGAAGTCGGTGTAATCTGCTAACTTGGTTTCAACCTTACAGTATCCTCAGGTGATTTTTATCAAATGACTTAACTTTATTTTTTTTAAAAACTAATGAACGCTATAGTATTATTTTCAAAAATAAGTAAACAAATACATGATGTTGGGTGTAATAGAAAGGGAGGAGGAAGAGGTGAAGAAAGAAGAAGTGGGAAGAGGAGAAAAGCAAGGATATTGTAATGGTGTCGGGTTAATTGAAATGTACATTTTTTTTTTTTTTTTTTTTATCCAGCCTCATATGTACTTAAGAGGAATTTTCTAATATGCAAGCAAGGACATAAGAGTTTGAACTTCTGGTTTAAAAGGTTCTTTGGATCCGGAAATGTCATAATCACTAATTTTTCTTGTTGACAGAGATTGCAAATATATGATGAAATATTGTTTTAATATATATATATATATATATATTAAAGTGCTTGATATCAGGACTAGAGCATATGTAAATATAAAAGTGGGCATTGAGGTCAACAGTCTCTTTCATGTTTAAATGAAATCATCATGCCATATATACATTTCTAAAGAAGTAATGGATTTTTTTATTTATTAAGTGGACAGATTTTATTATGTAAAAACATAATAAAACCTGTCAGATTAATAAATTTAAAAAAATCCATTACTTCTTTAGAAATTGCTTTGTTTACATTAAGATACAAAACTGAGCAGATCTGAATGTTTTGAGAGTCAGAGAAAGATTTGCATTTATAAGGCACTGTTCAACTTTACTTGATTGGTGATGCACCCTGTGCCTGAGTCAGTATAAGCACACCAGATCTAATGACAGTTTCTCCTGCCAAGGAGGATACAGGTTCAAATCCTGTTGGAGAGTGCATATTTTTCTTTTTTCTTTAATAAGAACTCTCAAATGTTCAGACTGGTAGATGAAAATAAATATACTGTTTAATAAATTAACCAAATAAATTAAATTGAGTGTCTACTTAAATAAGGGTATCCAATAAAAATAATGTTTAAGTAATAAAATATATAATGTCAATATTGTAGGCCAAGGAAAGAAATTTGAGAAATAAAACATTAATAATGATAATAAAAATAGTGGTTGGAAAGCAAACATTCTATTTTTTTTGGGCCACATGTCTATCACAACCATAATAATGGCTGACAATCTTTCATCTAATAAATTTCCAATATTATTTCTAATATCTGTCTATATCTCTGGGATGAGTTATTATGATTACTTGCATTATTTACATTATTCGGACTGTTATCCTCATCTTCACTGCCATGTTCACCGGCTGTTGTATGCTCTGACCTTCTTCAGCTGATTGGAATTTCAAACTGAACCCTTTATTTCATTCACTGGGGTAGATTATGTGGAGAGTTTTGTTAAAGGGAAATAACTGAGACATCCAGAAGAGGCATGGAACTAGAACAATCTACCCTGTTGGTGGATGAAATAAAGTGTTTGGTTCAAAATTCCAATCACCTGAAAAAGGCAGAGCATACAACGGTCGAAACATTGTGAATATGGCAATGAAGATGAAGATAACAGTCCAAATAAAGTAAATAATGCAAGCAAAAATAATATTTATTGTATTTTATTAGGTGTTTAGAAAAATAGCTTTTCTTTATATATATATATATATATATATATATAAAGTTTCATTAACAATGACTGGCAAGGTACTGCATTTAAATTTTTTATTTAATTTTTCTTGCATTCAGGCAAACGTTTCCTTTTCTGGACACAAAGTGTGTAGAAAAAATACATGTTAACTACAACCAAGATATATTTTCTCTTAGAAATATAAACAAATACAACCCCAGTTGATCAGAACAAGAAAATTAAATTAATTATCTATTACAAAAACTTTAAAATGGATAACCTTATCAAAAATAACACACCAGCAAAATCAAAACTACAGAAAACAAATATTATTTACAAGTTCAAATTCCCCTTAAGGAACTGTGTTCCGGATCAAACCAAACCCATAAATAATTATATTGGTCATACCACTACATGCCTATCTAGATGACTCACGTTACACCTACCCAACCATAGCTAAATTAGGATTAATTTAAACACACATGAAAACCTACCAAACTCCATCTGAAGCATATGAGTAGAAAATACAAGTCTCATCCACATGTAAAAAAAAATAAAAAACTAATGGAATCACTAATAATAAAAAAGGATTAACATTAACTGTGAACACAGCCACAATGTGCTAAACATGTTTGAAAAATAAAATATTCCTATAATTTCAGACACATTCAGTTAAAAATAAAAAATTCAATTAAAAATAAAAATAAAAATCACCCTTAGTAATGGCTAAAAGAATAGCCGCAAGCACTTGGATATTGTTATATACCATACCTATGAACACTAATGGGTATGTCCCAATCCTCATAAATACATTGTACATTATTGTAAGTGGTGGGTAATATGGTGTCTAAGTAGTCCACCACTACCAGTGGTTTACCTACTTCACACCACTGGTGAGTATTGTATTTTGTTGATGTTATAAAGATTACCATTTCATTTCCAACCTCCGTTTTGGTTATTCCTCATTCAGTAACCTTTTCTAGATTACATCAGATATAAAGAACTTTTGGACAGTTTTTACACACTTTTTGTCCAGAACAGAATACACTTGTATGAACACAAGAAAAATTAAATAAAAAGCTTAATCGCAGTACCTTGTCAGTTGTCTTTAACAAAACTTGCATAAAAGAATTAAAACTGCCCAAAACAATATATATATATATATATATATATATATATATATATATATATATATATATACACACACACACACATATACACAATGTATATGGCATGCCAGATCTTAGGCTTAGCTGTGAAGGTTAGAACTGGTGGAACTAAGGAACGTAGTTCATCTGAGCACTTTCCATAGAAATCATGATAGAACGAGAGGCTTACAACATTTAATCTGTTGAAAGCAGTTGTAGGGTGGATGAGCTTTTTTCCCTTGTGCTCCGGCTATATGAATTTAAGTGGGCTACTAGATTGTCATCTAGGTCCCACCTTTTTACCATTAGAATAGTTAAATGTAACAGCCACTTCTACTCAAACAGTTTCTTCTCTCGCACTTCCCAGTAGTGAAACTCCCTTCCTCTTACTTACTACTTCCCTGATAACTACAATCTTCAAAAATTTAAATGCAACATCAATCATCATCTCCTGTTGCCTTGATCCCTGTTCATCTTTTATCCTTTCTTTATTCCCCCTATACACAGTTTTCTCTCACCTTGACTGTATATAGTCCTCCCCCCACCTGTAAACCAGTGGCACTTCCACCTTGTTTAGGGTGAAATGCTTAACAAAAAAGAAATAGGTTAAATAACAAGACTGTCTAATTTTGGTTGGCAACCTGTCTAGGAGAACAACATCTCTGAATTCAAAAATCCTTGTTTCCAGAACATGTCCGAAAGTAGAAGTTTATCCCTTGTTTCCTGTTTAGGATTGGGTTTATCCTTACCTCAGTCTCCACTATAACCAGTCTTTTCTCTCACTTTCACTCTCTGCAACATCCTGCATGCTGGTGGGCACACCCAACTTGCTTGGGGTGAAATACTTTTAAAAAAAAAAAAAAAAAAAGAAAAAAGTTAAGCTTAGTCAAAATCGTGTTTCTATAATCTTGCTTAAAAATTACTACTGAAATGAGTTTGTGACTAAAATGTTTGGACTTCAGTTGGAATATAAACACTTTGGAATAAATTTTTTTTATTTTTGTTGTTCTTCATTTGTTTGATTTGATTCAATCCCTGGATCTTTTTCATTCACAGAGAATTATGATGATGGATATGACTTTTGAAGATGATATTGAATGTGATGACGAATGTGCTCAAGTCCCTCTAGCTAATTCCACCATGTCAAGTGAAGCTCTTCATACGCCACGGTCACAGTTAATCGAAGAAGTAAGTAAAACATTTTTTTTTTTACTCCATCTGCTTGGCTGAAATCTTCCCTCATAAACTAGATAATAAACATTATAATTCTACAAATGACATAAAACTTCTTTTATTCAGCAAATAGCTGTTGGGTTGAACTAACAGATGACTCCATATTTGTTGTTAGCTTCAGGAATTTTTAATTTTAAACAACTTTATTCGAAAAGATTTCAGTTGAGCAGAAGGATATGCTGACTGTGTTCCTGTGAAGAGGGGCAAACCCACCCAAAAAATGAGCCACCTGTTTATCATACCTATGTCTACATTTTTGATTTTCATGCAGACCAAACCTCAATCCACCTTTTTTCCACTTTCATTCTAACATAACCACTGTATATCTTTATACCACCATCATCATTCAGGCGTGACCTCTATCTTTATACCACCACCATCATCATTCAGGCCTGACCTCTATCTTTATACCACCACCATCATCATTCAGGCCTGACCTCTATCTTTATACCACCATCATCATTCAGGCCTGACCTCTATCATTTTACCACCATCATTTTTTGACTCTCCTGTTTGCCTTTCTATTGTTTATCAAAGTGACAGAATCCAATAGTCCATATGTAAATAATGACAGAACGTGATATTCAATAACTTGGAAAATATTTATAAGCTGTAAAACAAACAAAACCAATCAAAAAGATCACTTTTGTTAGTATTCGGACATCTATCATATCGGAGTGTATAGTTGGCAAACCGTATTCAAGGTCACTTGTCTATTAGGGCAGCTAACCAATCCCTATTGAAGATGCTTGCTCAGGTGCATTTGTGTTTATTCAACACCCACTGAGCTCAACTGTTGTTTATACTGCAACTATGCTGAGCAGACCTTAGTTACAGTTTCTGGGAAAAAGCGTGTTATTTAGCGTGATCAACAATTTGAACAAGGCCAGCACGCTCAAGCCCTCAGCCATAATGACTTGTGGCTTCATGCTAGTACAGCTATTGATAACCCCCAAGGGTTCTGTCTACCCAATTTCACTCACACGGCTTGGGTCAACTCGTGGTATGGTTTTCAGGCTCTTTCCAAAGTTGCCGCACACTGGGATCGACCCCTCCAGTCCAATAACATCAGGAAGTTTTCTTCCTGACAAATCGACCATGGTAAGATTTGAACCCAGATCTTATGGTCAGAATGCGAATGTTCTAACCACTTGGCCATGTGTCCATATATATCAGCATGTATTTTTTTTTTTTTTTATTAAATGACCCAAGATTATCATATCAGTTTTTGGGGTTTTTTTTTTTTTTTAGGTCAAAATTATAAAATTATCTGAAAATTGACAGAACAAAATGGTAAATATGTGATTCAATAAAGCTAATATCATGACTGGGTGTGGCCGTAGGGTCTCTTCACAGATGAGACCCTAACTAGTTCCCTCCACATGTCTGGATTGAAAGTTAGAGAAGCATTCATTCATGCACAGCATGTCTTGGGCAAGTAGACCTGACAGAGTCCATCCCTCTCTAGGTTAAACCCCAGCTGATGCCCTTCACCTTACATGCTTACCTTATTCACACACAAGTAGTCAATGATTCCTTTGAGGGAAGTCTCCTCCCTGACTTTTGACTTCAGTCTAGGAAGCCCTCTGTCTAGTGATATAATGTCATATTAAAATTTATTAAAATTTCAAAGAAATTTTCTAATGACTCTAATGTTAAATTGCATTAAAATTTCAAAAAAATTATTAATGACTGTTAATTTATTTAAATTTTCAAAAACATTAAATTTTATTAAAAAATTCATAAAAAAATTAGTAATGGCAATGATGTCAAATTTTATTAAAAATTAAATAATTGCTAATGAACATCACACTATTTTTTATTAAAAATTCAAATTTTTAATAAGTCACATTTTAAAAAAAAAAAAAAAAAAAAATTCAAAGAAAAAAAAAGCTGAAGCAATGCTAGTTTTTACAAAAAAATATCATTGTTGGTTATTATTTTACAATCATTTTTTTTAATTCGTCAGCTCCAGAAGGAAATACTAGAAGTCTATAATCAGTTATGAAATTTTATGATTTTAAAATCCGGTCTCAGCCTTCCCATAAAGAAGAAAGTAGTAGTGTGTATTGGAACAAACAGGTGGTGATGAACATCAACAAACCTGCAGTTCGTTTGATGACCTCCGTCCTGGTCAATTGACATCTGTTTTACAGGAGCTGCAACAACTTGTACACACCCAGCTTTATCCTAGTAAATATAAGGTGAGTGGATTTTGCTTTTCTTTGTATCTGTCTGTTCTTGTAATAATGCCATGTCTCTTCAGTACATAGACAATTATGACTCTCCACAGACACCTTTTCTTTATTAGCTATGAATTGCCATGTATTCTTGGGGGAAGATAGTCAATTGATCACTCATTACCATCTCCATGATCTGGATTCTAGAGTTTCCTATTTATTAGACTGTTTGCCACAGTTTGAGAGCCTAGTCTATTCTACTATTTAACCCATAGGAGATGGGGAGAAGAGATGGATTCATACTTTTCCCAAAGGCATTATTGTGAAGGTGAATATAAAAGACTATGCAGGATTTGAAATCAGCTTGCAAATTTTATGGGACATACAGGATCATGGCTCTCCACACAGATTCCGTTTCTTTTATTTTCTGTGAATTGCCATGACTTCTTTGGGAAATATAGTGGAGTCATTTTCTGTTACCTTCCCCATGGTTTTGAATTCAAAGCTATCTTTCCCGTAGACTGGCCACCACTGAATGCTAGAAAGCTGACTCTACTCTATTTAACCCACAGTATTAGTGTGAAAGTGAATGCTAGAAACTAGCCCTGAATTTGAACTCTGCTCAGTGATTCCACTTATTGTGCCAATATAATACTTGTAAGATATTCAAAATATACTATTAAAAACATTGTTTACTTCCTTTTACTCTCAATCTGTGATCTAAATACTTAGACAGTTACCACTTTCAGAGTAGAAAATGGCTTTATAACTAAGCAATTCTAAAAGCTATCAGCAAAACAATTGTTTATTAACAGGGTGACTCGGGTTTTGTCTGGCTCCTACTGACCTGTGTGGCAAGGTTGGACCTGCCAGGAGATAAACCCACACCAGCATAGCACTCTGGGTCATGGTAGCATGCAAGCTACTGTATCACTAAAGTTTATTTTTTCATTTTATTTATTTTTTTTTTTTTTCTTTTAACAATGATGCAAATATAGAGATATGTGGGGAAGATAATGGTTAAATTTAATATCAGTATGAATAAATTTGTTGCATATTTTAACAGGATTTAATTTTATAACACTCCAGAAGCTATTTGGTTTCAGTCTGTTTATTTCTGTTTTGTTCAAGTTGCATTGTTAATTTGTTACAGGAAACCTGGAAGCATCTTTCTCTCAATGGTGATATCAGAAAAATTATCAATTTTTTTGATTCAATGGTAAGATCCTGGAGTCTGTTTCCCCCCACACACACCCTGCATTTTGTTATCTACATATATAGCATTCCTTTCTATATTTGATGATGGTGTTTTATTTTTCCACAGCACAATTGTTTTTTTAGCACTACTTAAATTGACTGGTCTACTTATAAAAATAGGGATCTGTTTTTAAAAATTTTTGTAGATTAGCATTCATTAGTCCATCCTCAAGCAGCAACATTTGTAAGTATAAAAAAATATTGATTTTTTTTTTTTTTTTCATAATTTTAGAAGTGGGGGTTATGTTCATAATATAAACACAATGTTAAATTTGTCCCTGACTTCTTAAAGAGTTATCTGTACTTTTTTTCTTAATCAGTATCACCCCCATGCAAGGTAGTACAGCCACTAAGACACAAGGGGTTACAGGGTGTGCAGGAATTAAAAACAGAAACATTAATAATGAGTAGAAAGAGAAAAGAGCAGTCAGGAGGACAGTAGATAGTGATTGACATTGCATTTAAATTTTTGCAGATTAAAGTTGGCTGGAAAGCACCGAGCCAGAAGGGAGTTCCACAAATGAGAAGTACGAGAAAAGAAGCTGTTAACATAGAAGTTACAGCTACATCTCGCTAGAACAACTGTAAAAGTCTAGTATTGTGCTTAAATTCATACAGTCTAGGAACCGTAGTGAAGAGCTCTTCCAAACAACTACCATGAGAGTATTTATAACAAAAGCACAGAGAGGCAACCTTACAGCAGTGGGCAAGTGACTGAAGTTGAGCTGCCAGATCAGGACCAGTAATATTGCTGATTCTTCTTTGGATCTTATCAAGGAGCTCAAGGTAAAAAGCAGGGTCACCGTGCCATATTTGGCAGCAATATTCTCGGCACGGAAGAATGGTAGACTTACAGATATGCAAGATAGATTCAGGAGAGAAAAATTGTCTTGTACGACACAGTGAACCGACATTCTTAGCATCTGATCTAGCAATGGACTCAGTATAGTCTTTCCACTTCATGTCAGCTGAGAACGTTATCCCAAGAAGGTGCAATATTGGGATTCTTCCTCTTTTATGTACTGTGTCTTTTCAGGACAATTTTCTGTCCTTCGTAGCTCTTAATAAATTTTGTCTTTTCATCATCTTTCCTAAACCTTATTCCCCCATCTTTTTACTCAAGCTCACTAGGTAGGTTATGTATTGTTTTTATCTGTCCCTCTGTCCTGTGAGTATCAAATTTTCCAAGCCTTCTTTCCTCATTATGAATCCTAGAAATTTCAACTATTTCTTTCTGATGTTAAGTATAAACGCCCTTTTTGTTCCCATTTTTCTATAAAACATTGTTGCTCACATGTTCAGTCAATAGTATACTCAGCATCCTTCTATAGAACCACATTTCTGTTGCTTCAAGTCTCTTCTTCATCTGTGAGGAGATTGGCCAGCATTCACTGCCATATAGTAAAGCTGATATTGCATAACAGTTCAGTACTTTTTTCTTTGATTGTAATGAAATTTTTTTGTTTCTTAATACTTTGCTTAGCTTTTGGAAAGTGTCTTTTGCTGTTCCAATGAACCTTCAGATTTCAGTGTCATACTTTCCACCCTCTGCTAAAACATGTCCCAGAATTATTTGAGTAAAAGGATATCAGTAGTATTTATATTATAAACAAGACCGCTTCTAACATGATTTAAAAATAAATGTTAATGTTTAACCTTTGTGCCCATAAAAAAATAGTATCAAAAGCACATTTCTTTCCCTTGACACTGCTATTATTTTAACTACCATCACTCCTCAGCAATGGTTTTGTTTTTAAGAAGTGACAAAAAAATATTATTTATTATAACTTTTTGTTGGAATGATTGGTATAGCATCAGCCAACTGCCAATCAATTCAAACTTTCTAAAATGGTAAATAAAATTTCTCTTATGGTTGGTTCACATATTTTAATAATCTAATAAATATTTATAAATTTATGAATAAAAAATGTTTTCATATTTATTTCTTTATAAATTGGTAAATGATAAATATTGCATTGCATTGGTTTTAATACAATTGTATTAGTTTTTAGAATGTTGAAAATATAAAACTATTCTTGTCTAATAAATAATGTTTAATATTTTTGTTGTAAATTCTCAAGAACACAAAAAATGTATAATTTCACTTTCGTCATATGTTAAAGTTTTATTACAATTCTAATCATCTCATAGCAGTGTCAAAAGAGAAATCATCTTATTAAATATTGTCAAAAAAAAAAAATCATTATTTCAATTCTAATCAATATTGTGGGTAGAAAAAGTCTAATGAATGCAAAATGACAAAAATTATTTCTTCACCAGAATTTTTCTTATTTTTTATTTTTTTTTATGAGCAGACCAGTAAGAAAGCTGTTTTTTTTTTTTTTTTTTACAACTCCATCTTTGTAGAAAGTCACATCACTGTAGGAATCTTAGTAATTTTCTTATTTAGTCATTAGCTGGTGCACTTTTTGTAAAGTGAACATATCCACTGCTTTTTAAAGATCAAGATCTAAAATTATATATAAAAAAAAAAAAATCACTACCTCCATCCCATAATAACTGCTAAATTTGCACATGTTATGAAAAACAATGTAGTAAATATCAAGAATGAAGACTGTGACTCGGAAGATAAGTTCATCCCAGTTTTATTTGGCAAAATACAAGCAGGGTTCACATCACGTGTGCTCTTGGTATTTTCAAATATGGCTGACTGCTATAATCCAGAGAAGGGACCATAAACGATTATGGTATCATAGTCCAACAGTGAAATATAAATGATATAAACTATAAATGCTAAATATATAAACTTTTACAAAATTACAAGTGTATTATCAAAAAAGGAAAAGAAATAAGACCACATGCTCAGTGTATAAAGTTGAAAATTTTATTTACCATTCACAATTATGGAAGAATAAAAAATAAAATATGTAAAAAGAGAATAGCACTAAAAGTTCAAAAGGAACTTTTTAGAGACTGAAGAAATATTTTAAAATTGTATATAAAATCATTCTTTATGCATAGGTTTGTATCTCAACACTCTGATGTGTTACATCAGCTGATATCTTCACACTGCTGTTGAAAAGCCTTCGTAGCCTAGTATTTAAGAGAAACAAAATAGGCTCCAAAACTTGTGTGTGAATTTCTTCAGAAATTATTTTTAGGCATGCAAAGGATTTATCAACAAATTGGGTTGAGTTTTACAAAATTTCAGGTGAGTTTTGAGATTGTCAGATTTTTTACTTCATTTTTGCTCTTCCTTTTGTACAGATTTGTCAAAAAGGAAATTATGAATGCAAATGGGGTTTTTTTGGGGGGGGTTGTTGGTGGGGCAAATATTTAATACCCATTTCCTTTTAAATTGCTGGTGATCCATTTTTATCAGAATGTAGAACAAGGAGAGCTTTCAAATGGTCTAATTAAAACAAGATCTCTCAAATAAAATATTTTTATTTTTCAAATACATATTTTTTCTTTAATAATATCTTATAATATATCTTATACAGAAAATGTAAGAACTTTATAAGACAGTGTTAGTAATTGAAATAAATTATTATTATTAACTGATGCACATTTCAAAGAGATGTTGATATATTGCCCTTAAAATAGCTGTTACATTTCTGACGAGCTACTTTCACTCGTACCCCAACTGCATGAATTTAAGGGTGCTACTGGATTGACATCTCCATCCAACTTTTGAAAGAGTTAAATGTAACTGCTTTCTACTCCAACATCATCTTCTCTCGCACTTCCTGACAGTGAAACTCCCTTCTTCCTTCTCTGATAGCTTTAATCTTCAAATATACAAATGTAATATCAATCGACATGCCTTGACCCCGATCTCCATTCTTCTGTATATCCTTTCCTCAACCCCCCCCCCTCTTTACTCTTGCTCTTATTCTCTGTAATCCCTTGTGTGCTAGTAGCACCCCCACCTTGCTTGGGGTTAAATGCTTAAAAAAAAAAAAAAACTTTGCATATGTAATTGAATGTAAGAAATATTATGGCATAGTGAGAGGAACTGAAATAAATCAAATTTTGTACTCAGTTAAAGTATAGGGTGTCACCCAAAAATTGACCTCATTTTGTACTCTGATAACATAGCCAATTCTTGCTCAAATCTTCTCAAAAAAGTACAGGGTGTCACCCAAACATTGACCTCATGTTGTACTCTGATAACATAGCCAATTCTCACTCAAATGTCCTCAAAGTTTTTACACATTTTGTTAAAATAAGTCATTCAACTGTGCAAACTAATCTCAGTAAGACTTGATCAGGAAGATGGACAGGGTGTGCCGGTGATAATTACAATGGGCTATTGAAATGGCCACCAGATTCACCTTGTGATTTTTTTTTTCTATGGGGTTATGTGAAAGGACAAGTCTATATACCCCACCTCTTCTTTACACGCCTAGAGGAATTTAGGCAGAGAATAACTGAGGCATTGAAGAATGTTACACAAGATATGCTACAGCGTGTTTGGCAAGAGGAGCTGGATTACTGACTTGACGTGTGTTATGTCACAAGGTGGTGCACATATTGAACATTTGTGAAGCCTTGTGAAATCAGTTATAAAATTTACATCCTTTTGAATATCTTGTTCAAATTTTGATAAATAAATCTTTTATTGTTCAACATGGAGCCTATTTAATTTTGTTTGCCTGGGACATGTAGTTACTCAGGTATGCACATTTTAAATGATGTCAATTATTTTGAGACACCCTATTGTTTTAACTAAAAATATTATAGAGATTTGCTTTTAAACATTGTTTTTTTTACCAAAGTTGCTTCTGCCAATGGAAAAGAAGAAAAGTTTAAATTACCTGCATTTCTACAGAAACCTACACCCTTGTACAAATTGAAACAAAATGAATAATTCCGTTATTTACTTTTTTTTCGTATTTTTCCAAGGAAACATGACCCAGTGCACATGTTAGTACTTCATATGTCCATTCCACAAATTTGTTCCTTGCAAATTGACCACAGATTCTCGATTTGGATTTAAGTCAGGAGAGTTTCCGGGCAAGTCTAGTACTTTAATTTGCTTGCTAGTAAGGCTTGCCAGTGTGTTCGTGCAGCATTACAACTTTCATATGCTTCCTTGGAGTAACATCCATCACAGACAATGGCTGTAGGACAAGTAATCAACAGTTGTCTGGGCATGATGAAAATCTGATTCGATCATGGATGATGCAATATTTTTCAAGGTCAAACAAATTTCATCATACACCCCGAAAATAGATTCATATTACTGTACATCACTGCAAATGACCTAATCTGAGAAAAAAAGGGAACTAAAGCAGTTGTTTCTAGTGTGTGGAGTCAAATTACAATGAATTTAGATAGCAAACTGGACCCCCATCTTAAAATTTAGAAAAATAAATAATTTTTTTTTTTTGATATTTGTGATCTAGTGTGTCTATCTGATTGTAATCAGATAAAAGATTTTTTGGGAAAAAAATGATTACTTCTTGGAGTGGTATGTTTCTATAGAAATGACAAATTACCAATGACTTGTATCTCCAAATACAACTTAAAACATACAAACTCTGAATGATTCCACACCAAAAATTTCTGATGAATCTAAATAAATAGCAAAACATGTAAAATTTATAAAATTTCCTACTTGTTTCTTGATCAAACTTTCCCAAGAATATGCAGAATTTTTTTATATATCTTTTTTTTTATTTTTTTCCAGGAAAGTGGCATGGCCACTGGTGGGGACCAGGTTGATAGTGAAGAGGTTGGGAAGGTGACCTTGATGGCTGAGCAGATCCATGATCTTCATGTGGAGTTGAGTGGCGTGAGAACCCACGTTGCTGGTTTGCATGCCGATCTACAATTGCGTGAACAGCAACTGCAGCAGAAAAAGACAGAAATTACTCAGCTTAACAGTAAAGTAAGTCAGCAAAGAGTTTGTGATTTTTTTTGTTTTGTTTTTTTTTAACTCAAATTTCTTACAGGAATCGTTGCCAATAAAGACAGAAAAAAGCAGCTCTTCAAAGTCCGAGGTTATTTTAAAAATTAAAAATTTATAAATTAAAATGAACCCTTCTTCTAGCCAAAATTAAGAACAAATAAGACCAAGGATCCTTTGTTGTTTTTATGAGTTTTCGGCACAATTGGACCCAGGCACTGAACATGACTATTTCTTTGGCAGCGGTGATTCCAATCTATGTCAAGTGTTTTTATTATAATTATACTGTATTTACAATATACTTTAGGTTTTTAAGATTTTTTCCTTATTTTTTAAAAAAAATTTTAAAGATATATTTTTAATTATTTAAATTTTTTTAAATAATTTAAATTTAAAAAAATCTTAAAAAATTTTATTTAAAAATTTTATTTTTTTAAAGATTTTTTTTTAAATTTTTAAATTCAAATTTTGAAAATTTGTTTTAATTTATTAAATTCAAAAACACTTTTTTAAAGATTTTTTTAACTTATTAAATTCAAAAAAAGTTTTTTTTTGTTTTTTTTTTTTGTTTTTTTTAAATTAAGTTTTTAAGATTTTTCCATCATTATTTTCTTCTTTTGCCACAGATTGAAGAACAGCAACAAGAACTTCAGAAAATGCGAGAGGAACGTGACAAACTCCAAGATCAAAGCATTGGAAATCTGACAAGAGATGACGTTTTGGAGCAAACAAGGCATGACCGAAACAATGCCATTGAGATGTAAGTCTTCTTTTCTTTTGGGGCAATAGAAAAACCCTAACCAGGGGTATACAGAAGGTCTTATGAAAAACAAAAATCTAGAAGTTTAGATCAGTAATTCCCAAAGATTCCTCAGATCTTTCCATCACCTCCTAAAAATTGTGCAGCCAGAGGACGCCAGTGACACATCTGAACCATAACATATACCTGTGTCATATAGGAATAAAGTGTCATTGCTGACACTTGGATTTGAACATGGGTCACCAGAGCGCAAGTACATTCAACGTCATCTGGAAATAATTAGATCACTTGATGGGTAATGGAAAAATATATATATGGGAATTAGTGGTGTCTAACCGAGTATAGGTCGAAGGTGTTACTATTATTGTATCTGTGATTTATAAAGTCTCTCCTACCAACGGGCATTACAAAAAATTGTAGGGGCATTATAACTTCGTAAGTCAATAATTATAAACCCATAACATTTATATATATATATATATATATATAAAGTTATGAAGAACTTGGTAATCCGTATGGGTAATCCCAAGGAGGATGAAATCCTGAGAGCTCAATGTAAATCCAATCAATAATATTTAAAAAAAAACAGACCATTTTAAGGTACCATTATAATAATTTATTTCACCAGAGTCCTATTAAAAGGACAGCGGATCATCAGATAGCACTTCCAACAACGAAATGAAACGAAAAAAAAATCTATCAATTTGAAAAAACATAAAATTTTTGACAAAGTTCTAATTTAATTTCTAATCAACCCTGGTTAAGCATCTCTTCTCACAGGGTCTTCTCTCAGACAAACAAATATGGCTTTTGAGATGGTCAGTACTTTCTGAATATTAAACTAGACAAATATATTTGATTCACCAGTGAATAATTCTGATTTCTCCAACATCAGAAGAATTTAATATAATTTTTTTTTTATTTCACCCACCAAGTATGGCAAAAGGTTAGATTTTGTTTAGCAGCATATAAACTTTGACAGGTTATTTAATGCCAAAATCTAAATATTTCAAACACAGTTGTATGCCTTCAACTACAGATAAAATGGATTGTTGGAGATTTTGCTTTAAAAATCTATTGCTGGTTATCTTATTATAAATATGTATTGTTGGTTGGTCGATTTTGTTTAGTGGCGTATCAACCTCTATGGGTAATTTAATGCCGAAATTTAAATATTTTGAAGACAATTTTATGCTTTCAACTACAGATATTTTTTACATAATCTTATACTTTCAAGTTAAAGCTATTTTGTTAGATATATAGTTTGTAGAGGTATTGGAAGGGGTATCAAGGAGACAAAAATTGCTTAGAACTACAAAGAATAGGAAGTTGTGAAAGCCATGACTGCTCATGTCCTGAAAGGCCATGGTACATAAAAGAAGTAGTTACTGAAAAGGGTTATTATATTTTTAATATAAATACATTGAAAATCAAGAAGAAAGGCAAGTATTACTGACATAATAGTGATAGCTAAATATCTTTATGCTGCATATACTTTCAGGATACGGGCGATCATGGTTCATCACAACTTCCTTTCCCTTGTCGCTTTTTACAATGTTTTATCTTTTTGACATCACTCCCACAGCCTGTTCTGCTATTCACTCGCACAAACTGGTCAAGTAGGTCACCTGCTGTCTCACCTTGTCCCCTTTGTCTTCATTATGTCCTGTGAGTGTCAAGAGTTCTCCAAGCCTTCCTTCCTCATTATGTGTCCAAGTGATTTCAGCCTTTTCTTTCTGCTTCTGAGCAAAAGGTGTTTCATTAAGACGGATCAAAGTTAGCAGTAAATAAATCAGTGTTATTGGTGAAAATTTATTTATTTCTGTATTGAATTATGTGTGAAAATTAATATTGCCCAAATGTCCACCAAGGCTTTGGCAGCACACCTCCACTTGATGGTCAAAATTTTTGATGATGTCTCTGCATAGTTGCTCCTCGATCTCACCAATATGCCATATTATCTCATCCTTCAGCTGTTGAATTGTTGTTGGCTTGTTGGCATAGACCTTGCTTTTGAGATGACCCCAAAGGAAGAAATCTAAAGGCATCAAGTCACATGATCGTGGTGGCCAATTGACTTCGCTGTTTCAAGAGATGATGCAACTTGGGAACATCTCATTCAAATTCTGTTTGAACATCCATTTTCATAATAGACTTCGATAATTTTAACACGTCATTTGATTGGCAATTTCAAACATGGAAAGATTAACAAAGACTTAAGTTGTTAAATCTGAAAGGAAAAGAAAAAAATCATTAGACACTTAAAGTTAATTCACATTTAAAATTGGTCCAAGTTATTGAAACACCTTATATAAGTAACTTGTTTTTGTTTCTATTTTCCGTAAAATGTTCTCATTGCTCACATGTTTGGTCCCTGGTATTTTAAGCATCCTGGTTCCCGTACAATCACCCAAGTTAAGCAACATCAAGCCTAGTCAGTATCTAGATGGGTGATTGCTTGGGAATTCCAGGGGCTGTAAACTTGGATATGTGGGTGGTCTAATAGATAATGACTTGGAATTGTTAATCAGAGAGCTGAGTTCCAATTTCTGTGTGGCTTATATTCACTGGTGCATAAATACCCTTGGGAAAGGTATGAATCCACCTCTCCCACCAGCTATAGGTTAATTAGTAAGTCTTGTATCACTAAATGATTATTATCTCCCTCAAAAAATTTTTTTTTACAATCTAAAAATATTTTCTGGCTTTAAATAACCTGCAAAGGCTTGATAAGACATAAAAAATGAATCAATCTGTTGCCTCCAGTCTTCTCTTTATCTGTTAGGAAACTGTCCAGCATTCCCTGCCATTTTTTTATGATTGATATGTGGCGGACATGAAAAGAACCTGGGACGAAAGCACAACACCACAGCGATTTTGCCTTGTCCCCAAAAAAAGAGCCCAGATTTGCTTAGCATGTAAAGCTACTGCAGTTGAAATGAGGGAGAAAAAAAGCACTTACCGCTCTGCCGTAATCCATCCTCGGCCAGATAACGTAAAAGAATGAGGGGGGACTGGCATCGCATTTTTATGCAATAACGATGCAATGCATTATGGGACATGGACGCAATGAATTATGGGATCACAGGAAGACGCAAGGGATTATGGGTACATGAACAACTATAAAAACAACTACTTTTTTCCAAGTCGGGAGTTCTTGAGGGACGTTCACGGTTGAACTTTAGAACGGGCAGTTAGTGTGATTTGGAGACAGAACTCAGGAAGAAATGACTCAAGTTTGAAATACCAGCTGGGAGAGCTTGAATTTTCGCTGGTTACTGTTTTCTTCATTCGCCAAAGCTATTTCGGCATATTGATTCTTCAAAATGGAAGGCAAGGTGTTTGACGTCCGTTTGATTCGAATTCAAAGATGGCGCCCCAACGGATATGCCCATTGTTGAATGGATAGAAAATGTGGAATTGGTCTGCTGAACTTTGTGCCATGAACAAGATCGTTTGCATGCATTTTGCCTTTACGACTTGGAGGCGGTGCCCTTGCTGTATATAGACAACTCAGTGGAGAGCAGACTTGCAGACGCGGAACAAATTAAACGGGCCCTTATGACTGCATAACGACTGACCAGATTTAAGGACGTTCGACCAATTTATGGGATGGCGTCTTCAAAAAGATTAAACTGTCTGGATGAATTCCTGGCTGAAATGCATCGTTTTGTTCATTTGCTAGTAGGAGAACCGCTACCTGATCGGTGGATGGCATGTGCATTTAAAAAGGACTGAAACATCATGTTAGGCAGCTTCTCAAAGCTTCTTCCAGGATGGACGACATGAATCTAGAACAGATTCTGACCCAAGCAAGAGCTATTATGACAGATGACGAAGGGTGCCAGGTATTGGCAAGAAGCAGTTCCCTAGAGCTAACGCGCTCAGAAGCTGAGGTTCCCCTGCCAAACCTGTTAGCAGAACGATTACCTGCTACAAGTGCTCTGGACCCAACCATATGGCGAAGAATTGAACACAAGGACGTCAGGAGAGGTCAAACAGAACGACAGAGGTCTGGTCGCGACAAGCGGTGTTTTGAATTGGTGGCATTAGACACATTTCCTCAGAATGCCAGGGAAACGCCCAAGGGGAGAAGGCGTCAGCGCCAGCCTTCAAGGAGCAAGTAAAAACCGGAAGTTACCCTTATACAAGTATTTGTAGATGGATAAAGATGCACAGCTCTATTGGATTTGGGATGCTCACAGACGCTGGTGAGCAAGACTGTGTGTCGCTGCTGGAAGCAGGAAGAGGTGGGAGTGTTGACTGCCGATGGGAAGACCCTGAAGTGCCGTGGATACGGTAAAAATTAAGTTGGGCGTCAAGCATATTCAGCCCGTGACTGTTGAGGTTCTGGTCGTGGAAGGGCAGTTGCTAGGATTCGATCTTCTTCTCGGGATTGATGCAATCAAAGTGCTCGAGGTGTTTACCTGACCGAACCAGGCAAATGCGCGTTTCGGAAACCTGAACACATTGCCGCCATTGTTATCAACAAGCCTGACTTTCAGTGACGTTTAACCCGAGCATAAAAACGTGGACTGCATTGTGGAAGTGGGCGAGTTTTTATTCACCAGCAAGTTGGTCAATAAAGTATACCATTACACAGTACCTGGCACGTCCGGGATTCATACGATGAAGAACTTTCCGGTGGCATCGAGACGGATGCAATACTGCCATATCCTGAGAAAGAGTTTGGCCCACTGCAATTGGATTCCATTTTTTTTTTCCATTATTGGCGGTCGTACAAGAACACAAACAGAAGGTTATACCGGTTCTTGACTATCGGGAGTTGAACGGCTTTGTAGACGCATTCACGGCTGACGCAGAGGTGTGTGCGCATGAAATTACGAGAATGGCGACGACAAGGAGCTGACATATCGCTGTTGGATTTCTTTAAATGCGTACTTTACAGATTCACATTGACAAATCTTAAATGAAGCTATCAATTTTCAAACAGTGGTCATTAAGGGCAAGTGATCGGTTTTGCCTTACGCGTTTGGGTTTTGGCCTGAATGTGGCACCACTTGTCATGAAGTCAGTGATCGACAATCAAATAACGTCCCAGGATCAGGACATTAAGAGTGCCACGTCGGCATTTAGCGTTATAAAATATCTAAGAATAAATGAATTAACTAGTTGATGCAGCTATTTAAGACAGCACTTTGCAGATTATGGGCTAGTCTGTAAAAGATCCGGATGATTGAGAGATGGAACTAAAGGTCCTGGGTCTGCAAGTCTGGGAAGAAAGCAACTCCCTTCGATGGATTTGGGGAGGTCAGGTTCAGAAATTAAAATCAAAAGGTGATATTAGTATATCTATTTTTCCTTGTGCGGGAAAATAGTTGGGTCATTTTTTTGTTTGCGGTTGGCTTATATGGCAACTGCATTTATTAACGTTATGCAAGTACACTAACCAAAGGATGGGACGACGAGATAAAGGATGCCCCTTTTGGACGTATGCTGGAGGAAACAGTTAAAATGTTGGGGAATCAGATCCTGTCAGCGAAGACCATTGTGTGAACGGCAATGAAATGACAGTTTGGGTGGAACAATCTCCGTTCACAGATGGAGTAGCACTAGAGGTGAATGGGAGCGTCGTGGAAGATGCTTGCTGGTTGCGTCCAACCAATGATGCCAAACACATTAATCTTGCTGAGCTTGATGCGGTAATCAAGGGCGTGAATCTTTGCCCTGCAGTGGCAGGCACCAGTTATGCATGTGGTCACCGATTCAGCATGTGTGCATCGGTGGGTGTCTGACACCCTGACAGGAAGGAAAGCGTGAAAACGAAGATAGCGGGTGAAATGCTGATGAGGCGGCGCTTTAGAGACACTGTGAGCTTTGGTGGAGTACACACTGACTATGACTGTGACGTTGGTGAAATCTTGTCAGAACAGGCGCTGACAGCCTCACCAGAGTGCCGCAACGCTGGTTGGAGATGCACAAGAAAGGAGAGAACTGGTGCAAGTGAGTTGTGTCACTGCAACAAATAAAAGTTGAGCAAACGTCAGGTGACCCACATCCACCAGCAGAGTGGGCACCCAGGTGTTAAAAAAGAACAATGTACTTTGCTAGGACTGTAGATCCAACGGTGTCTAAGGAACTGGTAAAATGCATTCGTTAGAACCTGTGAAGCCTGCCAATCGATCGATCCAGCACCAGTGCATTGGAAGAAAGGAAATTTGAGGTGAGAAAAAACTGGAGCAGGTTAGCAATGGAAATAACCCATTGCAATGGTAGCCATTTTCACGCTCATTGACTGTGGTCCCTCCCATTTTGCAGTATGGCGGCCACTGAGACGGCAAGACTCTAATTGGTGTCATTCGTCAGCTAGAGACAGTCTTCTCATTTAACGAGGCCCGCCGACGAAATACTGACTGACAATGACACCACGTTCATTTTGCAGATGGGGAATTTGTAAACAGCTGGGGCGTGCATTTAAAAAGGTTCTCCGGTGCGCTTGAAGGCCGTCTGGAAATGGCATTGTGGAACGCAACCACAGAAAGGTCAAAACCATAGCGGCCAGGAAAAATTTTTCAGTCTTGGAAGCGGTTTACTGGCATAACGTCACACCTAAGGACAACCTTTCACCTTCCACGGCATATTTGATGTATTCACACATACCACGTCCGGGTGAGAGGCATCGACGCGACGCCCCGCCTGAATCAGAAATATTGAAAAAGAAGGGGAATACAAGGAAGGGGACATTGTCTGGGTTAAGACTCCACGTGGTAAATGCACGACCAAATTTGGAACCGGACGTGTGACAAAGGTGGTGAGTCAGCAGTCAGTTAAATCGATGGAACTCCTCGTCATGTTAGAGACCTGCGCCTTTTTTTGGGCTCAAATCCCACAACTGACGAAGAAGACACGGAGGATAGTGAACAGCCAATATACATAGAGTTGGATTCAACAACCAATCACTCAGATAGCGGTAGTTTGCCAATAGATCGGGACGTGTCTAATGAGAGTTCCTCTGATGAAGAATTTCAACCAATCCCCCTTCGGAGGAGCACCGGAACAAAAGACCGTATCCTCACTGTCATCTGTGAGATCAAGAGGGGGAGTGTGGCGGATGAAACAGAACCTGGGACGAGCACAACTGGTCGCGACTTGCCTTGTCCCCGCCAAAAAAGAGCTTGTATTTGCTTAGCATGTAAAGCTACTGCAGTTGAAATGAGGGAGAAAAAAGCACTTACCGCTCTGCCGTAATCCATCCTCGGCCAGATAACGAAAAAAAAGAATGAGGGGGGGGACTGGCACCGCATTTTATGCAATAACGATGCAATGCATTATGGGACATGGACGCAATGAATTATGGGATCACAGGAAGACGCAAGGGATTATGGGTACATGAACAACTATAAAAACAACTACTTTTTTCCAAGTCGGGGAGTTCTTCGAGGGACGTTCACGGTTGACGGCTAGAACAGGCAGTTAGTGAGATTTGGAGACAGAACTCAGGAAGGAACGACTCAAGTTTGAAATACCAGCTGGGAGAGCTTGAATTTACTCGCTGGTTACTGTTTTCTTCATTCGCCTCAATATGCCATAGCAGTTGAGCATTCTATATTGGTTTCTTTTACGACATATCAACCTCAATAGGTTATTTAATGCTGACAAGATTTTTATTGCTGGTAATATTTTTTTCTTAAAAAAAAAATTTATTGCTAGTATTAAAATCTATTTTTACACTTTCATAGTGTATTGATCCAAGTTTGGGGGTTAGCTATTTAATTAAAATAGCTGGGATCCTAACAGGTGCTACCACCCCAGGTCAGGGTGGACTTGGAAACACCAGCAATTAAGAGGTGGTTCCATGCTCCTCAAAACCTCCTGATCAGAGGCCTTGCTGTTGGATGTAGTTTGTCGTCTTATCCAGGATGTACAGAGGCACTAAAACTTGGTACTGTTTTTACTTTTGAAGATTATAATTTTTCTGTTTTATTTTTCATCCAGTTCGCTGCCATTTTAGGTTCTAAGGTCACTTATTTTTATTTCTCCTTTCTAGGAAAATCCAATGTGAAAAAGAATTAAGCCAAGCTCAAGGGGAGATAATGAGTCTTAACAACCAGCTAATGGCTGCTATTCACCAAAAAGTGATGGTCTCCCAACAGAGAGACCAGTGGCAGGTGAGAAGATACAAACCCGATTCTTACAAGAATGTGTTTCACAAAAGCCCTCCTCAGCTGTTCACTAACAAAATGTGAGGACAACTTTTTCTTTGGTTCTTATTCTTAGTATTTTTTTTTTTTTTGTAATGTATTTTTCAGAATAACCTATTCTTTTCTTAAGCTAAATAAAACTCAAAATTCTCAAAGTTGGCATAAATGTGTAATGCAAAGTAAGTCAATTTTTTTAAAGCCAAAGTCGATGACCAAACAGTTTGTCATTTGTCCTAAAAAAAAAAAAAAAAAAAAAGATGGATCGGTTATTGGCATGTTTCTATTGGCAGCAGTCAGCCCTTTATATGAAGTCAACTATAATATGATGAAAAGAAAAATAGATGTGAAAGGTGAATTCAAATCTTGTAGGAAACTGCTTCTCTGTTCCTACTTTACATTAAAGTATCAGTGGGTATTCATTTCAGCCAGTTAATTTAATGACATATTAACCTTTGGTGGGTTACTCAATGCTATCAAATTTACACCTGAATCAAAAGGTAGACGAAAAAAAAACCAAAAAGGCTACTGAATAGAATAATGTTATGGAAGGTTGGTAATAAACGATAATACTTAGAACATGAACAACACACATAAGATTCACCATGTAAATTGAACTGAAGAAAAGTAGTCAACTGCTAGAAATGAGAAGTGAATTCCACAATGAATCTTTAACTGCAGGATACCTACCAACTGTCCCATGCAGTCAGGGGTGGCATGAGACCAAATTTGATGTGGGATATCTGAGACTGAGCTAAGCAAAAATTCCCTGTAGGCCCTGTATATAATGGGGTCGGGTAGCTGTTTCCCCAAGATGAGACTCTGCCCTTTGACATAGCTTCATCTGGGGATCCTCTCTGCTTTGAGGCAGAGAGTTTAACCAGCACAGCTAGAGATTAATCTTCAACTGCAGACCAACCTACTGTATTTACGTGAATGTGGATATACCCATTATCGTCCATAGGTATTCTACAACAGAAAGGTAGACTTAAGGCCAGTGTACACATTTGACATAAAGGTAGACACAGGTCTTGTTTACACCTGACTCAGAGAGGTAGACATAGGTCCAGATTACACATGAGTCAGACAGGTGTAAATTGGACCTCTGTCAGACTCAGACATTTTTTTTTTTAAATATGTCTAAGTCTGAAAGTTAGGTGTAAATTGGACCTATATCTGAGTCATAAAGGTAGACATTGTTTAATACCGGTCTGGAAGTTTCTGTCTTCTGACAGTTGCCCACTTCTATGTGGCAGTGGGGGGATGTTTGGCTTTTGGAATATTATAAGCCATGCTGAGAAGACAAAGAGGGTATTCAACCTCAAATATTGAAGAAAATATGAGCCAAGAAAATAATACCTCATCTTAGAATTGAAATAATTTAAAACTCTCATAAAAGCAAACAATATATGATGAATATCTGGAGTAGAGTGGAAGCAGGTGATGTGCAGCTCCACATATTCTGTCCTCTTGGTCACAGTAATGTTTAAAATTTGCTCTATTTATAGGGGAAGAGTAATCAATATCAGTGAGAGAGTATTTATAAATATAAACAGTGTGGACATAGAAATCAATGCTGCATGGTGACTGTCAGTTTTATACTTCAATGCAATCTTCAGACCGAGATGGTGACATACAGGAAAGTCACCATCCACTTTTCATACCTATGTCAAAACTCTCCCTTACATTTATATATATATAAATATATATATATCAAACCGTCATTTAGCTTCACATGCCTTTACCAATTTGGCCACAGAGAAGCATTCGGTTAGCAAGGTCAAATTTACTGTATTTAAACTTCACTCTTCCATGAATCTCTCACGTACATTCATATCTGCTCAAAGCGCATCCAAATGTAAACAAATGACGTCACACATTATGAAATGGACAAAGTCCGACAATTATTATTAAGAATATTTTCTGTGAAGATTTCTCAGACATTCAGGCCGGTAAATGTTGTTTAATACTGTTTATTATAAACAGAGCATTTACTTAAATATTTGTATCTATAAAAAGAATGTATAAAAATAAATGGTAATTATATCTGTTAATATGTGTAATTTAGACGACAATTTATCCATCGCACCATGTATGTAGTCAAATCTTTATCATTTGATATTTTAAATTGGATACTAAATTCCTTAATCTTTAAGGAGCTGATAATCCTTTCCCTTTTGCCTTACTCAAGGAATTTAAATCCATCATTATTGACCTCTCTAAAAAGTAACAGATTCCTCATAAATTCCTTTAAATGAAAACTATATGGCTAATCTTTGGAAATGCTAAATCAAAATTTTCAAATTTCATAACTAAATTTTATTTATTAAAATTTAAAGAGTGCCCATGAGTTTTAGTCATTCTGCAAATGCACCTTGAAGTAAAAATGGTTAAGAAACACTGGCTTAGTGTATTCATAGGCTGTGTTGTGTTCATGCAACACATGGTCCTCTGGGGACTAAGAGGTTTACCAGATAGGGACAAGACATGTCTAGTTTCCTATGGCAACCTGTAGGTAAAAAGAAAACTAAAGAGAAGTTTGTTTCTACCAATCCTCTGATTGGTTGGGAGTCATGTGAACTGGCCAATCAAAATAATGCCCAGTCTCAATACTCCAACACTCACTGCTGTCCTACATTTACAATCAGTAGAAAATCACTGCTGAACACAACTGCAAATGGCCGACTCTCTGACTTGATATCCAGTGTCAAAACCATGGCAAGAGACCTGCAAAGCTACATTGATGTCACCCCTGCCCCTAGAGCAATCAGTACATTGTTGTTATTGTCTTCACTTGATCTGCCAATAAAAACATGCGCCATTTTTTTTTCATTTTGAAACTTAACAAACAGTTTGGTTATTAACTTTGTTTTATTAATTTTCATTCAAAATTCAAAGTTTTTATTTAATTTTTAAAATTTTATAAATTTGAGAAAACAAAAAATTTATTTCCATTTTTTTTTTTTTGGATGTTTTTTTATTTGCATTTTTTCTTTTTTTTTTCAGTATTACTTTTGGCTTTGAAATTATTTAAAACATCGATATTTAAATTCCTAGAATGAATATATTTACTTTCCAAAACTTTAGAAAAAATAATAAAGAAAAGTTTAATGCTTTTCTCATTTGACCTAAAATCAAATGCTTTTAAAACAAAGCAAAAAACATATATATTATATAAGTATAAATTGAAAGAAAAAGTTCTCTTCCAATTCACTCGCCTTTATTCTACTAATACTACTTACTTACTTTACATTTTTTTTAAATATTTTTCATTCACCAATTCCTCTTTCTATGCACTTTGATTTCAACAGGTGTTGGGGCAGATGTTCAAAAATAAATTAACAAAGAGCTATGATGTATGTGTGTCTGCACTGCCAATAGAATAGAAATTATTTGTGTGCATCAAAAGTATTTTCGTTTTTAACAGACCTTTAATCCAAGGCTTTTTTAAACATTAAAGATTATTTATGACTTCCCTGTATTACTATCCCAATAATGACTACCATCAAATCTAGTATTAATTATAAAAACAAAATAAAAATCCAGTATTGAAAATTTCTAAAACAATCCAGTATTTTTTTTTTTTTTTACAATCATTTCACCCCAAGCAAGGCAATAAAGCCACTAAGATGCAAGGTGATACTGAATGTGAAAGAAAAAGAAAAAATATTATTGAGGAGGAAGAAAATTAAAAGAACAGGAATTAAGAAAACAGATAATGATTTACACTGCATTTAAATTTTTGAAGATCAAAGGCAATAAAGCCACTAAGATGCAAGAGGTTACTGAGTGTTAGATAATATGTGAAAAACTACTATTAAGGAGAGAGCAGAATAAATGAACTAGAATTAATAAAACAGAAGATAATTGACATTGCATTTAAATATTTAAAGATCAAATGCACTAAATCCACTAGGATGCAAGGGGTTACCGGGTGTTATAAAGCCACTAGGATGCAAGGGGTTGCCGGGTGTTAGAGAATATGAGAAAAACTACAATAAAGGAGAGAGGACAATAAAAGAAATGGTATTAAGAAGACAAAAATATCCATTGACATTGCATTTAAATTTTTGCAGATCAAAGTTGACTGGAAAGCAAGGGTCTGGAGAAGTGCAATAGTAGAAAACTGTTAGCATAGAACTTACGGTTAAACCTAGACATTTCAACTGTAAAATAATGAGAAGACCTAGCTACCAATATAGTTCTAAAATGTTTTAACTTATTATACATCAAGCACTGTTTTGCCACCACCATCACTCAGTTATATAATATAATATATATATATATATATATATATATATATATATATATATAAGGAAATGGAAGTCCAACAATTATTTAATATATTTTCTGTTTATACATTATTTTTATAGGTATAGTTTATTTATGTAAATGCTCTGATTTTTAATTAAACAATATTAATTACGTTTACCAGCCTGAATGTTTGAGAAAATTTCTATGGCCCAATGGTTAACAGCTTGTTAGATCAAATGATGGTTCCCATTAGGGTTCGATTCCTGTTGGAGAACACATATTTTCTATGAAATTCTTGAACATTCAGGACAGAAAATGTAATTAATACTCTTTAATTAAATAAATTATATCTATAAAAATAACATATAAACAGAATAAATATACATTTCTGTTTTCAAAAGTAAATCTTTTTCATCATAAGTTACCAAACATCGCCTGATGAATTGGAACAATTTTCACTTGCGAAAAATGATAGCGATGTATATATATTTCAAATAAAAAATATTTTACACACACACACACATATATATATATATATATATATATATATATATATTTTATTGTTATACATTATTTTTATAGACACAAATATTTAAGTAAATGCTCTGTTTATAATAAACAGTATTAAGCAACATTTACTGGCCTGAATGTCAGAAATTTCATAGAAAATATGCGTCCTCCGACAGGAATCAAACCTGTATCCTACACAGAACCGT